ACCAGAGCCACCCTGGTCCCATCAGTGCCACCAGTGCCACCCTGGCCCCGCCACGGCCCCTTTGGCCCCGTCTGGGCCACCAGAGCCACCCTGTCCTTGGCCACCAGAGCCACCCTGGCCTCATCAGTGCCACCAGTGCCACCCTGTCCCCCCCAGTGCCACCAGTGCCAGCCTGGCCCCACCAGAGCCACCAAAGCCACTCTGGCCCCGCCACGGCCCCTTTAGCCCCATCTGGGCCACCCTGTCCTTGGCTACCAGTGCCACCCTGGCCCCACCAGAGCCACCAGTGCCACTCTGGCCCTGCCACGGCCCCTTTGACCCCGTCTGGGCCACCAGAGCCACCCCGTCCTTGGCTACCAGAGCCACCCTGTCCCCATCAGTGCCACCAGTGCCACCAGTGCCAGCCTGGCCCCACCAGAGCCACCAGTGCCACTCTGGCCTCACCAGTGCCACCAGTGCCACTCTGACCCCACCAGTGCCATCAGTGCCACCCTGGCCCCATATGGGTCACCAGAGCCACCCTGTCCTTGGCCGCCAGAGCCACCCTGGTCCCATCAGTGCCACTAGTGCCACCAGTGCCACCCTGGCTCCACCAGAGCCACCAGTGCCACTCTGGCCCCGCCACGGCCCCTCTCGCCCCACCTGGGCCACCAGAGCTACCCTGTCCTTGGCCACCAGAGCCACCCTGGCCCCATCAGTGCCACCAGTGCCACCAGTGCCAGCCTGGCCCCACCAGCATCACTGGGGCCACCTTGGCCCTACTAGAGCCACCAAAGCCACGCCGGCCCCACCTGGGACACCAGAGCCACCCTGTCCTCGGCCACCATGGCCACCCTGTTCCTGCCACTCCCCCATGTCCCCCTGCCACCACGGCCACCCTGTCCCTATCTCTGCCACCACAACCACCCTGTCCTTGGCCACTGCAGCCCCCCTGTCCCCAGCACAGCCCCCCCTGTGTCCCCTGTCCCCAGCACAGCCCCTCTGTCCCTATCTGGGCCACCACAACCACTCTGTCCCCAGCACGGCCCCCCTGTCCCCAGTACAGCCCCTCTGTGTCCCCTGTCCCCATC